AAATGACAGGAGAAAGCCTAACCAATAGGATGAATGAAATGGAAAATAGAGTATCAAGACTGAAAGATAAAGTGGACAATCTAGACCACTCAAGCAAAGATTATGAAAAATTTAAGAAATCACAAGAATGGAATATGCAGGAATTGTGTGACACCATAAAAAGACCAAACTTATGAATCATAGGCATACAGGAAGGAGAAGAATCCCAAGATAATGGCATGGAACAGGTCTTCAACAGAATCATGGAAGAAAATTTCCCAAAATTAAAGAAAGACATGGCCATACAAATACAAGAAGCATATAGAACACCAAACAGAGAGGACCAGAAAAGAAACTCTCCACGGCACATCACAGTAAAAACACTAAACGTTCAGAACAAAGAGACAATATTGAAAGCTGCAAAAGAAAAACAAGTCACATATAAAGGAAAACCTATCAGGATTACAGCTGACTTTTCAGTGCAAACTATGAAAGCCAGAAGAGCCTGGACCAAAGTATTCCCAGTTTTAAATGATCACAGATGCCAACCCAGACTTCTATACCCAGCCAAAATGTCTATTATAGTAGAAGGAGAAAGAAAAATCTTCCATGACATAAATAGGCTGAAGGAATTCATGTCCACAAAACCAGTCCTTTAGAGAAGGGCAATAAAAAGAGCTGAAGAAAGGAATGACTATACCCAAGGAGTTGTGGAAAGAAAGTCAATGAAGTTATAACTGTGAAAAAATACAGCTACATCACGAATCTAAATAGAAATAAAAATGACAGGATTCAATACTCATCTTTCATTAATAACTTTAAATATTAATGGACCGAACTCCCTAGTCAAAAGACACAGACTATATGAATGGATTAAGAAACAAAACCCATCTTTTTGATGTCTGCAAGAAACCCACCTCAATTTCAAGGACAGACACTATCTTAAAGTGAAAGGATGGAAAAAAATATACCAAGAAAATGGTACTAAGAAAAAAGCAGGTGTAGCAATCCTAATATCTGACAAAATAGACTTTAAACTAAAACTAATCAGAAGTGATAAAGAGGGCCACTTCATTCTGATCAAAGGAACAATGAATCAAGAAGATATTACAATCATGAGCATATATTCATCAAACTCTGGTGCACCCAACTTCATAAAAATAATGCTAAATAACTTTAAGACCCAGATTAATCTCAACTCATTAATAGTAGGGGACTTCAATACCCCACTATCTCCATTAGATAGGTCAACAGGGCAGAGAGTTAACAGAGAGACAGCTGAATTAAACAATACCATATATCAAATGGACTTAATGGACATCTACCAAGTATTCCACCCAAGCACCAAAGGACGTACTTTCTACTCAGCACACCATAGAACCTTCTCCAAAATTGACCACATATTGGGGCACAAAACAAACCTCAACAAATAGAAAAGAATGAAATAATTCCATGCATTCTATCAGACCACAATGCAATAAAGCTTACAATCAACAACAGAAGAAGCCCTAATAA